ATTCACAATAGCCAAGATACACAAACAACTCATGTGTCCTTCAACACATAAATGAATAAAGAACATGTGACACACACACACACACACACACACACACACAGAGTAATATTATTCAACCATGAGAAAGAAGAGAATCTTGCCATTGGTGACAACATGGATGGACCTTGAGGGCATTGTGTTTAGTAAGGTAAATTATACAGAGAAAGAAGAATACTGTGTATCATTTTTATGTGGAATCTTAAAAAGCCTTACTTGTAAAAACAGAGAGTAGAATGGTGGTCACCATGGACTGGGAGGTGGGGGAATAAGGATTTGTTAGAGGGTACAGAATTAGAAGATGAATAAATTGTGGCAATCTAAGGTACAGAATAGTGATTGCAGTCAACAATACTGAATTATAAACTTCAAAATGGCTAAAAGAGTAGCTCTTAAATGTTCTCACTGTAAAAAAGAAAGGATAATTATGTGATATGACAGAGGTGTTGGCCAAAGCTACACTGGTAATAGTATTATAATATATGAACGTATCAAGTTAAAAAATAAGTTGTGGGGAAAAACCCAAAAGGGCTGGCAAAAGCTTATTCATAATATCTTCGTGACATCTTTTTAAAGCATATAGGTTCTGCAGTAATATATCTTTTTTGTTTCTTTCTTCTTTTTTGGAGGAGTAATTAGGTATTTATTTATTTATTTATTTATTTATTTATTTATTTATTTACTATTTATTTTTACTCTGGAAATACTGGGGGCTGAACCCAGGACCTCATTCATGCTACGCATGCACTCTACCACTGAACTATACCCTTCCTCCCTTTCTTTTCTTTTCCCCCTTGTTGATCATGCTTAGAATTGATGAATTTTATGTCTTTTCAGAAAAATGAGGCTTAAATGATTTTTTCTGTGGTCTTTGCCTTATATGTGATTGATTTCTATAATTAAATATATTATTGTTCTACTTTCTATAGGTCATTTAATTTGCATTCTCTTTTTTTATGGTTACTTTTTTTTCACTTTTTTTATTGAAGTGCAGTCAATTACAATGTGTCACTTTCTGGTGTACAGCACAATGTCCCAGTTGTGCACATACATACATGTATCCGTTTTCATATTTTTTTCATTAAAGGTTATTACACGATATTGAACATAGTTCCCTGTGCTATACTGGAGAAATTTTTTTAATAGCTGGGTATGTTTGATTGACATACATTATAGATGGAAAATTGTAGAACTTCTTCAGACAGGATCTTACTTGCTGCCTCCAGGCACCTGATTTAGGAGATGCTCACTTCATATAAAAGAAAGTGAAGTAGTTGCAGCCGGGCATCCGTCCCTGTGAGGAACAGTCTATTTCCGGTTCACTCTT